CATTTCTGACCATATTTAGCTTATATATTCTTGATCAGGATCATTGGCCTTTTTGTCCATCTGTCTGCCCGTCTGACAACTAGTTTCACAGTCTTGAAGTTATAGGGATTTTTTTTATACCCTTGCAGAGGGTATTATAATTTCAGTCAGAAGTTCGCAATGCAGTGATCTTCGATCCTATAAAGTATATATATTCTTGATCAGCATCACTAGGAGAGTCGACCTAGCCATGACCGTCTGTTCGTCCGTCTGTCCGTCCGTTTCTACGAAAACTAGTCTCTCAGTTTTAAAGCTATCTGCATTAAACTTTCCCAAAAGTTGTCTTTCTATTACAAGTAGTACATAAGTAATATTAATACTTAAATATTTCAGAATTACGGTTTGAATTTCATAAAAATTGGACGACTACAACATAAAGCTCCCATGCGAACAATAAAAATATTAAAAAAAAACAATTTAAATAAATATAACTTTTCTATTTTGTAATTTTTTTTTTTTTAATTCCGTTTGACTTATTTTATTTAAACATATACGCAAGTATAGCAGTATAGGTATATGAACTTTTGTTGTTTTAGTGTTAGCCATTAATTTAGGAATAATTCGCCTTTGGATCCTTTTTTAGGGAGATTTCCTTACTCTTAGTGCGATTTCGGGCGAATATTTTTTTGAGTGTATATTGAATAGCTGAAAAAATATATTTTACATTTTCGTTTTTGTATTAGACACCTGTTAAGTTCAATTTTAGCCTTAAAAGTATAATTTGCGCTTGGATACAACAAGTTGACATATTGTTTTAGTGTTAGCCATTAATTTAGGAATAATTCGCCCTAAAATCATGGGCAAATTGCCTTTGGATACTTTTTATAGCGGTTTCCTTAGTTTTAAGGCAAAAATGTTTGTGAAGTTTGAAGTTTTTAGTTTTTAGCCCCAACTTTTTTAAAGAAATAGTTAATTTGATTTTTGTTTTATAAAAATCTAAGTTTATATAACATAGCTGCAAAACGGCAAAAATAAGTATTGGCAAGTAAGATTGTTAAAAAAATAGCTAAAAATCTAGATAGTTATTTGTTTCATATTTAAATATTTGCTTGGATTTGATTTATTTATAGTTTCTTAATAAATTCATACAGATTTGAAGAGATAAGGAAATGTCATTTCAGAATATATGAACTTAAAAAGTTAAAATAAATAAATAGCTCATCAAAATGTAATAAATTTAATTTAGAAAATTATTTGGACTTGGCACTTACATTTTATGTAAACAGAACTTGAAAATGGAAGTAAATTTAAGTAAGTAATTGAATGGATTACTATTTTAATTTACTTCCATTCACTCTCGGTGAAATTATTAGTTAAATTTAAATTATTATCTTATTTTGATATGTAACTATCTTTGTTATGAATTATGGATATGGACAGCCAATCCAATTAATAGTTCTAGCAATTAAAAACTACAGTTTAAAAAATTTGAAAAAAAACTTCGGAGCAGTTTTTTGCATTTGTAATTTATACTAGAAGACGAGAAAAACGTTTTAAGTCGGAAAACGTTGAAGCTATCAAAAAATTAATATTGGACGGAAAGCGGCATAGGAAATCTAATCGACGAACAAGACATCAAAAACTGAAAAGGATAAGACTTTAAAACTTATGACTTATTTGTTAAGTCAATATGCTGTATCCAAGCGCAAATTATACTTTTAAGGCTAAAATTGAACTTAACAGGTGCCTAATAGAAAAAAATGTTAAATATATTTCTTCCGCTCTTCGATATACACATTAAAAAAAATATTCGCCCGAAATCGCCCCAAGAGTAAGGAAATCTCCCTAAAAAAGGATCCAAAGACGATTGGCCCATGATTTTGTGATTTTCTTAAGTATTAGGGGTGATATTTCTAGAAATTGTTCATAAATATAGTGCGATTTTTCTTGATAACAATGCGTTTTTTTCTTAGTTTAAGGCTGCCATAGGAACTTTCGAATAATTGAGCTGCAAATCATCATAGCTTCAATGTTTAAAAACATATACGCAGTAAATCATAATTTTAATGTTTTCAAAAATGTTAAATTCTTGCAATAGCTGCAAGGGTATATGAACTTCGGCTTGCCGAAGTTTGCTTTCTTTCTTGTTTAAATTGAGGTATTATTTTTTTATGAAATAAAACCCAAATTTTGGGACCTTATTTCGATTAACTTTTTGGGGGGCCTAATTTCTTTGGGGTCTTATTTCCAGCACTTGAAGCTTGCATCCTTTCTTTTGTTTTGGTAACATTTATTGAATGATGATTTGAAGTCCATTTTTGCTCTGAAAACTCATATTGGCATACCAAATGGTTAAAGCCCTAGTCTCCGATAGTTGTGGCCCTGGGTCGATTCCCAGTGCAGACAGAAAAGCTCATTATGAAATGTAAGTGTCAAAAATTGGTTCCATATAACTTATTAAAACCAAAAACGAAAACAGGTTTGTATGAAATTTAAATCGTAAATCGGAAATATTTTAAACATTACTATATGTCGAAGAACTAAACAAAAAATAACTAAAAAACAGCAAAGTTATAATTTTTTATATTTTTTTCTGCTGGCTCCTATGAGCGCTATATGATATAGTCGTCCGATCCGGCTCGTTTCAACTTATATACTGCCTGCAACAGGAAGATAACGTTTGGGGAAATTTTCATGCAGATAACTTTAAAACTGAGAGACTATTTTGCGTAGAAACGGACGGACAGACGGACAGACAGACAGACAGACGGACGGACGGACAGACGGACACACAGACGGACGGACAGACTAGATCGACCCTCCTAGTGATGCTGATCAAGAATGTATATTCTTTATAGGGTCGGAGTTGTCTCCTTCACTGCGTTGCAAACTTCTGACTAAAAATAATTGTACCCTCAAGGCTATAAATATGCAACCATTTATCGAGTAAAAAAACTGAAAATTGTTTGGTGACTAGTAAAAATATAATTGGTTGAGACAAATACATTTAGAACACTTCTATTTAATTAGACTTTTGAATGCCAAAAGAATATACTTTAATTTATTTGAACTTTGTAAAATGACCAACTAGAAATGAAATTTGTCAAAATTAATACTATTTAAATACTACAATTTAACTATAAAATTATTGAAATTAAATTTATATGAGTTTAGCGAAGCTTTTATCAAAAACAAAAACAAAGTGAAAAATTGATTTTTAACACTTCTGTGTGCCAGAAGTAACTCACATAAAAACTTTTAACTAAGCTGTACAGAAGCGTGAAAGCTTTTAGATATAAGAAAAACTCATCATTTTTCATTGCTATATTAAGTTAAAAGAAGGAATTTTCATACTTCTATACCCAACCACACTATCAGGGTGCGCCACCTGTTGGAATTCAGCGGCACTTGTAAAACGTTTTGAAATATAGCATACTTTTAATCTAACATTTGACCCAGGAATACATTCTGAAACTCGGCTTAGCGAACACGCCAACCAATATTTTTTAAAAGCTGTACAATTACATATGTTATATTAAAGTTTTCGCTGAAAGTTTAATTATCAAATTAAATACAACTTTATAAAATAAAAAAAAAAACAAATTTAAATTGATTGTTTTAAATGTTAGCAAGAACTCTATTTTTCTCCTTCAGAAAATAAATTTGGAGATTGAAACTGCTTAAACTAAACGAAGTCAGAGGAAGAAAGGTAAAGTAACCGGGAAATCGGAGAACTCAGCAGCGGCTATGGCTTTAAGCAAGATCATTAAAACAAAAGCTGGCGCCAAAAACGAACAAAACGAACTGGTGAGTGCTTGATAGACCCCCTTAACCCACCCAATGCCCCTTAACCCCAAACAGCAACCCACCACATGAAACTTACAATCACATTACGTATAGTTGCGGTCAGAATTTTAGTGGTAGCTTCTTCCTGTATTCAAAATGTGAATAAAAAACATAGCTTTATTCTTTCTCAAAACTAGTCCAAATTTATACAAATTATTTAAAAATGTATTTGGATTTATAAATTTCTTATTGAAATGGAACTAAGTGCCTTGTTAGACAGCAAAATTCTATTCAAAATGTTGGATATTTTTAATATATGTAATAAAATGTATTTTATTCTATATTGTTATTACTATTTTTATTATTTATAATTTACGTAGTACGATAGCTGAGTGTGAGTAAGAATATATTCAGGGGTGCCGAAGGATGACGTTCTTTTTTTAATACATTATTTTTGAATCATTTCAAGAGAATGTGTCACCTCCCATATTCGTGGTTAGGATCACATATCGAGTCGATCAAGCCATGTACGTCCGTTTTGTCCTCAGTCAATATGAATCTATACACCGAAAATTTATTTTAATGTTTTGAAATTGGTTTGTTATGGCACTTGACTATTTTGTTCCTTCTTGTTTTGTTTCAATATTTCATAACGATTCCTTTTGAAAAACATGGCAAACAAAGTATCCACGAAATGTTGGCATAAATTACTTTTATGTGTGTATATTGATAATACTTATTGCACTTATATCCCAATGCCATCATTAAACGATGTTGTTCTTGAGTTGTCAGAGCTAGACCGTAGACTACAAATAGGCCGTAGCCTACTTTTGGGTTCCTTGGCAAGTGATTTCAAATCTCTAGGGATTTCTGCGGGGTACACCGAATTAGTTTCAATAATTGAAAAAAAGTAGTTTTCTGCATAATTTAGTTTTTTTTTTACACACACACTGCCACTATTATGACCGCAACTGTATCCCCCAATCCAAAACCTTTGGCTAGAAATGTACTAACATTCGGGCCACGTTAATCGCGTAAGGTGGCTCAGGTAAAGTAAAGCTCGCCGAGCGGGAAAAAACAATGAATGGCTGCCTACATCGACGGCAGCAGAGGCAGAGGCAGAGGCTGCGGCAGAGGCAGCGACTGCGGCCGAAAAAAAAGGCAAACAGTTTTTCAGCTCAGGTGTAACAAACTAACGGTGCAGTTACCGACGGCCAGCAGTCGCAGACGCGCCATCGAACACGCCGCTCGCGATCGCGCTCTCATTCGGTTTTCCGTTTTCGGTTTTCGGTTTTCCAGCCTTCCAGCTTTTCAGCTTTTCACAACTCTTCAGATTTTCCGTGTCGGTTTTCAGATTTTTTTTTTCTCTTTTTCGGCCCGATCATTTTCCGTTTCGGTTTCCATTTCCTTGGCGCTTCATTTAACACAACCGCTTAAACTGAAAGCCTGCCAATCGATCTAAATCTAAATTTAATTGTGTTTTGTTGATTGTCGCGCTGCACTTGATTTTTTTCTTCGTGTGGTTTTGTACGCTAATTGCCTGAATGGCAAAGGCAAAGTGCAAAGTGTGACAGTGCAAGAGATAAAGAGCAAGAGCGAGACAGAGAGAGAGAGAGAGAGAGAGAGAGGGAGAGAAGGGTGAGCGGGGCCTAGTACACTAAAACAAAATGAGCGGGAAAGAACTTTTTCTTACTTTGTGATATCAAGTATCTTAACGATATTCGAATGAGAATGTTTATTTATATATCTTTGGAAACTTTAGTTGCAACAATGATATGTTAAAGTTCAAAAAACATACACTAAGGAATTAAACAAAAAATATTTAGTAAGACACTTTTCGAGAAAATATTGGTTTCCTTTTTAAAAGTAAGCAAACCTTGTGATAAATATACATATCTTTAACAGAGATCTTTTAAACAAATTGATCTTCATATATAAGTTCTTAAAATTTTTTAATAAGGCTTATAGATACCCGTTAAAAATTCCAAGAATAACTTAAAAAGGAGTAAAAAAAAAACAGACCAACAAATTGCAACCATTTATTTTTTTGGTAAATAGCCCAGCTATTGAAATATTTTCTCTCGGTGAGTGCCGCGTACAAACGTTTTTGTTTTGTTGTGTGCAGAATTGGAGATATATTTATATGCGACCCATTCCCGTTGTCAGATCGCGGCCCAAGTGGCGTATACGTGCAAAAAATTAATCATTAACTCAGGCTTTTTGCACTCACTCTTTGCCTTTCGATTCGTGTATTCTTGCTTCGTTTTGCTGCTCTATTCGTTGTCGTGATATTTGTTGTTGTTGTTCGGCTGCATATTTGCCAAACAATTTAGTTTGTACTTCTACTTTGTTGCCATTTTGCCATTTTGTTGATCTTTCCGTGTTGAACCACCTAACCCACATGGGCCAGTGCGCATACGCAACGTTGGCCCAACAAATTAGTTCTAGTATTGGCGCAATACTGCAAGTTTGTCGGCTAACACCTTCCTGCATGGCTGCATCCCCTCTCCCCCTTTCAACGAGCCACGAACATATTTTCCCACCATTAAGAGGCCCCCAAAGTCCGAGAGATCAGGCAATATAACAACAAGGCCTGAGAAACACTCACATATAACAACAAATCAAAGCCTGCACACAATGTGTTGGGCACTACACAGCGAAAAAAAGTTATTTGCATGGGTTGTGTTTAGTTTTATTTCAATTTGGGAACACATTTTTTAAAATATTGTGAGCAACTATTGGGAATTATTTGGCTTGCCAAAAAAGTGAATGAAATATTATATAATTTTTATTTGTCCGCCTAGAAATAAAAACTATTATCCTTCTTAAAATCCTTTTTATTACAATAAATATTTAGTAATTAGAATTTTAAAATGATCTAAATTTTGAAATCATGCAATGTAATTTTAAATATTTCTATATTTGTTACCTTAAAAACATAAATTAATCTTAAAAAGTTGAATATCGTAAATGATCACATCATATCTTATTCTATATCACATTTTTGTTCACTGTACAGAATTATAAAGGGGGTTGAGTGAAGTGTGGGATGCGGGTGGGGGTTTTCTACTAGCACCCACAACTAATGCAGTTGTTGTTGTTTTTTTCCTGTTGCTTTTATTGTTGTTGTTGTTGGTTGTTAGTTGCTGGTTATGTGTGGCTGCTTTTTTGAAAGAGTTTTGTTGTCTCGTTGTTTATTGTTGTTTTTAGTCGTGTTCAACTTGTTTGTCTGTTGTGGTTGTTGTGGGTGAACTATTTAAGATTTTTCCCGCTCTTCTAAAAGGAAACCTCTTTTGGCCTGTCTTGCGTTTTTTGGACAGCAGCCACAATTCAATGTCTTTGTATGGCCAAAAGGCGTGAATTAAATGCAACTACAACATGCCAGTGGGAAAAGAGGCTTGGGAAGGGGTTTTGCTGGGTTGGCTGGGAGTTGCTTTTAGATACCCATTCGTCGTTGACCAGTGCGTGACTTGTGGGCTCGGCTGCAACTTTGCTTCATACATACATACATGAAGTTGCTGCTGTCGCACACGAAAAACTGAAAGAACATTTTAAAAAGTTTTAAAATTAAAATATTTACAATTTAAAAGTATCTTATGAAAAAAACACTTTAATTATTATATTTTAACCAGCCTTCCTGAAACCAAAATTCCATCCTAGTAACGAACTTACAAGTTTCATAAAGTCTATATATATACTTAAAAATTTATTAAAACCAAATAAAAACCGTTTATCCAATCAAAAGAACATTCTATATTATCTACCATTAAAATACATAAATTCAAGGTAAATAATAAATTCATTTAACTGTCTCAAGTGGCAATTTTTAGTTTGTTTTTTCCCAGTGTTTTGCTGCCGTTGCTTTTGGGTCAAGTAAAAGGCTTTGCGATTGCAATAGGAATTGTCAAAGTTGGCCAACGCTGCGACTTTGGGCTCGCAACTCTGAACTTTAGTTCCCCGAAAACAAGCCAGATATTTCAATGTATGACTCATGGTGGGGCGTGACTACCCCCCTTCATCAAATAGATATCCTCCTGATATTTTTTTTACCCCAGTAGCCCTGTGACAAAAGAGGAGGCATCGGCATCGCCTTAAGCGTCATTTAGACGAACCGAACATAGAAGCTTCTTGACCATATTTATACACTTTTTGCTTGCGGTGGCTTCCATCGATTCCCTTTTACAAAACAACAAATCGATTTGACCGGAAGCAATTACAAAAATGGCCAAATTGCAGTCACAATTAAGTGTACGTTGTTGTGGCGGCCTGACGTCATCGGCCGATCGCTGAAAGCCGAAACTAGCAAATCAGCCAGCCGGCAACTCGGGCGAGATTTATTGTCCGTTTGCCTAATTATCGATTCAAGAGTCGTTTTCCCTCTCCAACGAATTGCTGGCCACTGTGGGAGATATGATTCGCAGTTGGCCACATCCGTTGGAGGCATCTGAAATCTGGCAGATAGCTGGTCAGCGATCTCGAAAAATATGGCTCACCAAGTGTAGAGCTAGAACAGTTATGCTGCCTTCATTGACATATTGTGTCCAATGTATCTACAGCTTCTGAATTTAACGTGCAAAGAGGGGATTTCATAACTGGGTGCTGTGTTCGATCGCTAACCCATCTTGGTATGTGAGAAACGATCTTCACATCCCTTTAGTGCGTCGGCAGATCAACAGGCATTCAAGCCGATTCAACAAGCGGCTCCAAGCCAACAGCAATCACCCAGCGGCTTCTTTGGCAAATCCGACGACCTGAAGAAGATCGAAGAGAAGGCATCTCGGCGACCTTTGTTCTTAATCAATAACTGTGATCTTCCTGTTATGTTACCCTGTTGTGATTCACTATTAGTAGATCGATTGGCAGATCGATGTTTTGCCTAATACAGTGCTAATCTAAAATTCGGGAATGGAGGTTTGCATAGTAAGAGATCTTATGAATATTGTATTATTATATTCTTAAGATTATAATATTATTATTATTATTGTATTATATTTAATAAAGTTTAAAAAACTTCACTGGTAAAAAAAAGAAAGTAAATCGAAATATTTTGTTATACTCAATTTAAATATTTTTTTCCGTTTTCGTCCCTTGCTGTTTTTAGTTATTTCAAATATAAAATCATTAAAACATTAAACATAGGAAGAATCAAAAAATAAATGATAAAAATATAGCTTTGCTGCTTTTTAATTTTTTAATTGGTTTTTCAAGAAATATATCAAAATCAGAAATATAAAATGAAATATAAGATGTAGCTCCCACATATAGCAATCAAAATATTATAAAAAATTAATTTAAAAAATGTAACTTTTCTATTCAAGTTTTTTTTTTTTTAAATATGTTAGACAGTAATGGTTTATTAATATAGAATAACGCTTTTAATTTTATTAAAATCAGAAAACGTTATTATACATCTGTCATATTAACGATCGAATAATTGATAATTATAAATGTTTTGTAATTATAATTATTACAATTTTACAGTAGAGAATTTTTAAGTTGAACAAATATATTAAATAGGTTTTGATAACTACTAAAAAAGAAGTTAAAGCATATTTGGATCCTTTTAATTCTCAAAATACATTTAATGCCTTTCTGAAATATTGTATGTTTAATCCTATACGATTTCCCACTACCCATTTAAATCCAGCTAGATATATTCGTGTATATTTGGATATTCCCTAATACAGAAATCGCAGTCAGAGGGCAACATTTTCACAGACAACAGGGTCCGTTTGTTGTTGTTTCTGACGCTGCCGTGGGTCTGGTGATCTGACCTTTGGCCGCTTTTTTGAACCCAGTCTAGTTAGACTGAGCGCAAGAGTTTGTTTTGTTCGAATTTCCACTTCCATTTTCCATTTCACCGCCTTGAACTGTGCACGATGCCCTTTTGGGTTTCGGCCTGTATTTATTTTTGTTGCTCGAAGAGATGGGGTGGGATGTGCGCTGTACAAACATAGTTATGAAGACTTAAGTACCGCACCCACTGCCAGATCCAATTATGGCCCTTGGCTCCGGTTTAATGAGCTCGCAGAACAGTTCTGAACTTAACGCATGGCGAATTTAACGCCCATTGAAAAGGAGGGAGGTGTACTAACCATGGTTACCACTTCAATAAATATGAACACGTAACAGAGGGCAACAAAAGTTTTAGACAGACCCAACCGCATTTGCTTTTCTAAGCAAAGTTTGCCAATACACTTTAGGCCTTTTAAGTGAAGATTAAATATAAATACCCAATTTTAATTTCAATGCCATATTAATGTTAACGAGGACGGAAGCTAACTTCGGCAAGACTTTGTCGAAGTAGCTTATATACTGCGCGAAAAATCCTGAAAAGTATCAAATTTAAAGCGATTTCAACCTGTTGTTTCTATGGGAGCTATAGGATATAGACGTCCAATCGACACGCGCTTTTACCTTGATCACGGTATGCAGAAAAAATACGATTTGGAAAAATGCATGTCAATATCTTTTACACTGCGCCAAATGTCTTCAATTCTTGCAAGTTATATCCTATTGTTCCTATGGGAGCTATAGGATCTTACCAAAGAAGATCCAAATCACAAATCAAGAGAGCTCTGGGCTTCCACAAATCTTACTAAAACTGTCAAATGTAAATAGTTTATTTTTAATAGAATAAATATAAGAGTCTTTGGACCATAAGTGAATAGTGGCAAGGCAATTTATCGTGATCAAAAAAACAATAATAATAATAATAATACTTACAAGAACCAGAAACAATTTCTTGATTATGTTAAAAAATATTTATTATTTCATGGGTTCGAAAAAGTTTCCGTCAAAATTTTACAAATTTTAGTGACAATTTAAAACATTTTTTCAATCAACGATTTTTGAGAATGTAACACGTTTTTAATGAGATTTTCGGCATGGGATTTAATCAAAGAACAATATTATTACGATTACTGCAAATATTAGCTTAAAAATCAATTTATAAACCCAACTTAAAAAAAGGCATGTTAATTTACCATTAGAAAAACTCTTAAATGACTATTAAAATTTCACTAGGAATTAAACAATAACAAGTTTTCCTAAGAACATGGAGTTGAACTTAATTTATAAACATTAATAAATATATAATGAAATTATAAAGAACCGCAATAGTCCAAAGCCTTGACTGTTAACCTTTAAAACAAGAAAGGAAGCTAACTTCAGAGATCCGAAATTCATATACCCTTGCAGCTAATTCAAAAATTAAACATTGAAAACATTAAAATTATGATTTACTTGCGTATATGTTTTAAAACATTGAAGCTACGATGATTTGCAGCTCAATTATTCGATAGTTCCTATGACAGCTCTACGATATCGTTTTCCGATTTTAATAGAATTAAAAGCGTAACTCTGATCTACCAAACTATTAATAAGTCAAAACATTTTTTTTTTAATTAAAAAATATAAAAGTTACATTAAAAAAAAAAAAAGTTATAATATTAGTGTTTCCATGGGAGCTATATGATATGATTTCAACACTCATACAAATTTTAACCTAAAATCGTCCTAAATAACACATTTTTCGTCTTTATATTTTAAAAATTGCTAGACACCGAATTTTTTTCACTTTAAGGGCGAATTTTCTTGAATTTAGAAATATGTTAGAAAAGTTTCACGAACAAAACCATGGCGATTCGCCCTTGAATTTAGGAATAGAGTCAATGGATAAAATTTACCCGTAGTTTTAGAAATTCACCCTTAATTTTAGAAAACAAATTTTTTCTTGCTGCGCTGAATCACTGGAATCGGCATGTTTAACTCAATGTACGCCTTAAAGTTTACAAGATTTACGAAATTTATTAATAATATGTTTTGTATTATTTGTTGTGTACTTAGACTTTTGTTAAATAAGCATTTTGTTAAATTCATTAACCTGAAGATTTGAGAATCGAATGGGTCGAGTTCTCCTTCCTTCTTCGCCGCTCTTCATCTCTCGCTCTCTTCTTGGTTTTCTGGTTCAATCCTTCTAAACTCGGCCACCAAATTTGGCTTGGCATAGACTCCGGGCCTAATCTTCGAAAGCTGAACTTGTAATTCGCGCTCAGCGATGTGGTGCGAGCTTTGGAATTGCCGCCGAGCAACACCACAATCTGGAGCGGGAAGTGCCACTGGATCGGGAAAGGGAACGGGACTGGGAGGTTGGCGGAGAACTGGAGGGCAGGGACAGTGGGGCGAGCAGATGTAGTCGGCAGTTAGAGCACAGCCACCGTTGCCACCGCCACCGTCAGATGATCGAATGGTGGTGATCCTCCTACTGTCGCCATGCACTTGCAGCCGCAGCAGCAGCAGCCACGCCCACTCCCACGCCCCACCCAAGCACCACCAAGCACAACCACCATCACCGCCGACAGCCAAAAGTGGAGATTCCCGGAGCAGCAATGAATCTTCATCGGCATCCACGGGCGACACAGCCATTCCGGCTGGATATCTGCAGCTGCACCACCAGAAACAGAAACAGAAACAGAAACAGGAGCAACAGCCGTTGCACCACCAACAACAGAATCAGCAAAACCCGGAGCAATATCCCCACCAACCTAGTCATAGTCATAGCACAACACCACTGCCCGTTTTCGGCCACGGAAGATGGTTGCCCCTGCTGCAACCACCGAACGCCGTGCCCAAGCCACCGCGCACCCATGGCATCCATTGGCCACCTAGTGTCTATCCTGCCCAACCACCCAACCACCAACCGATCATCTTCCGCGTCCAATCATCACTGCCCAACGGGAGCTTTACTAACGCCACCACCACAACAACCACCACCACTGACTACGTGCGTCACGTGACCCGCGTTAACTTCTACGACATTGATACTTCGCAGGTCGAATTCGAGCCCAAAGATGACGAGGAGAGCAACGAGGCCACGGCAGGCAATTGCGATACAGAAGCTATTACCAAAGAAGGTGAGTTGCTCCATATGAGCCTTGGGATTTACTGGGGGTTAGACTAAGTAATTAGAGTCTTAAGTAGGTCCAAATATGTAGTCGTTTGATCAGCATCATCATAGACCTTACGTCTTATTTTTCCCACCAATGAATGATGAATGAAGAGTAAACTGAAAAGTATTTGTTCCGAGGACTTAAATATATTTTGTGATAGGAATGGATAATAAACCACCACCATTTCGTAATAATAGCTATATGTTTTTTTTGTTCCAAATATTTTCTTTATTAATTAGATTAAAAAGGAAAGTTAACTGAGAAAAAAGCCACTATCATAATATTAATCTAACTTGTTTCCTGATTCTCAATTTGAATAAGACAAAAATTAGAATTGACCGTTTAAATATCATTAAGTTAATATTAGGAAATTCTGATAAGAGCTTTTTTAAAGGATAATGATAAAAAACTTGTTTTAAGAATAAAATGCACTATCTATGCCACAAAAAAACAAACAAAAAAAACCAAACTTCGGCAAACCGAAGTTTATATACGCGTGCAGCCATTAAAAAAACAAAATATTCTTTACAACATCTAAACTTCGATTTATAAGCTTATATACTTAAAAAAGTTGAAGTTATGATGTTTTTCAGCTCAATTATACAAACGTTCCTTTAATTTATAAAATTAAAAGCGTAAGTCTAAATTATTAAACCAAAGAAGGTGAGTTGCTCCATATGAGCCTTGGGATTTACTGGGGGTTAGACTAAGTAATTAGAGTCTTAAGTAGGTCCAAATATGTAGTCGTTTGATCAGCATCATCATAGACCTTACGTCTTATTTTTCCCACCAATGAATGATGAATGAAGAGTAAACTGAAAAGTATTTGTTCCGAGGACTTAAATATATTTTGTGATAGGAATGGATAATAAACCACCACCATTTCGTAATAATAGCTATATGTTTTTTTTGTTCCAAATATTTTCTTTATTAATTAGATTAAAAAGGAAAGTTAACTGAGAAAAAAGCCACTATCATAATATTAATCTAACTTGTTTCCTGATTCTCAATTTGAATAAGACAAAAATTAGAATTGACCGTTTAAATATCATTAAGTTAATATTAGGAAATTCTGATAAGAGCTTTTTTAAAGGATAATGATAAAAAACTTGTTTTAAGAATAAAATGCACTATCTATGCCACAAAAAAACAAACAAAAAAAACCAAACTTCGGCAAACCGAAGTTTATATACGCGTGCAGCTATTAAAAAAACAAAATATTCTTTACAACATCTAAACTTCGATTTATAAGCTTATATACTTAAAAAAGTTGAAGTTATGATGTTTTTCAGCTCAATTATACAAACGTTCCTTTAATTTATAAAATTAAAAGCGTAAGTCTAAATTATTAAACCACTACAGGGATCAAAAATTTTTTTGGAAAAAATTAAAAAATAGAAGTTATATTTTTTTTTTTTTTAATTTTGATTGTTCTTATAGGAGCTATATGTTATAGTCGGCTGATTTTAATAAAATTAAAGCCGTAATTCTAAAATATTAAGCCATCACTATTTGTCAAAGAATTAAAGAAAAAAAAACTGCAAAGTTAAAATTTTTTTCATTTCGGATTATTATTTTCTCTGCGCTCAAAAAATAACCATTATTTCGGTGTCAAATCAAGTACGAACGGTGTCAAATGTAGGGTAAACTCTAATTTTTTTGAGTCAACTACGAAAAAAAAAAATATTCAAGTACTTTATATTCAATCCCGAAGTTCTACATTTGATAATGAACGTTATCAGTCTAAGTACTTAAAAGTGCTTGAAGAAGGTACGAAATAAATTGGTCTGAGTACGAAAAATTCTTTATGCAAGTATAAAAGTTTCTTAATTTTAGTTGTGCAAGTGAACAACTTAAGTACACAGAGGGAAAAAACCAAGAACATTGTTCTTAATCTGGGCACATTTTTTTGTAAGCAAATACAAAAAAAAGGTACTTTTCTCTTTTTATACCCTTGCAGAGGGTATTATAATTTCAGTCAGAAGTTTGCAACGCAGTGAAGGAGACGTTTCCGACCCTATAAAGTATATATATTCTTGATCAGCATCACTAGTAGAGTCGATCTAGCCATGTCCGTCTGTCCGTCAGTCCGTCCGTTTATATGCAAACTAGTCTCTCAGTTTTAAAGCTATCTGCATGAAACTTTCCCAAAAGTTGTCTTTCTATTGCAGTATATATAAGTAGTATATAAGTCGGAACGAGCCGGATCGGACGACTATAGCATATAGCTCCCATAGGAACAATCGGAAAAATAATTGAAAAAAATTATAATTTTGCTGTTTTTTAATTTTTTGTTTAGTTCTTCGACATATAGCAATGGTAAAATATTTCAGAATTATGGTTAAAAATTCATCAAAATCGGACGACTATAGCATATAGCTCCCATAGGAACAATCGGAAAAATAATTGAAAAAAAATTATAACTTTGCGGTTTTTTAATTTTTTTTTTAGTTCTTCGACATATAGCAATGGTTAAATATTTTAGAATTATGGTTTAAATTTCATCAAAATCGGACGACTATATCATATAGCTCCCATACAAATAATAAAAATATATAAAAGAACAATCAAATAATTAAGCTGCAAATCGTCATTGCTTCAATGTTTTTAAACATATACGCAAGTAAATCATAATTTTAATGTTTTCAAAAATATTTAATTCTTGCGATAGCTGCAAGGGTATATGAACTTCGGCTTGCCGAAGTTTGCTTTCTTTCTTGTTTCTTTTCTCTTTGATTCCATATGAAATTTGAATGGAATGGAATATGATAAACTGATAAGTAAGGGGAAAGAGAAAAGCAAACTTATTTTGTTTACTGCAAGTCGACCTAACCGAGATTCGGACCGAGGCCTTTGGATTCGTAGACGAATTAGCCGGTTGCATCACAATTTACTATGTACTGAGCCCGTATAAGAGTTCAAAGGAATATGTTTGCAATCAAATAGCTTTTATTAGCTATACTTTTGAGGTCAACTAGATAAAAAATTTAAATAAAAGCAGATCAATAGCAAAGAAAACATAAAAACCAAAAAAATTATAAATTGATTACTTTTTCTGGGAGTTGAACCCGGGATCTTAATAGTTAACCCAATATTTGATGTTCCAAAAATTTTAAGAACGAAATGCTCTTGTTTTAAATTAAAAGTTTTTTTCTTTTCTAAAATAAATAGTTTTTAATACAATTTACTGTTTCAATATTTTTAGTATTATTTAAAAACACAATAAGCAGGATTAAAGCAAAAAATATCGTTTTCTCTGTGTATTGAAAATAGAACATTTTAAAATATTATTATCAAGTACGATCCGTACTTAATCTGTACACGTTCGTACTTAAAATTTTAAGTAATATTCAGCCGAATTTCATGTACGACCGTACTAAAATTATTCATCCTACATATTTCTGGGTGTGGAAGCTATAGGATATAGTCGTCTGATCCGGCCCGTTCCGATTGATGCACAACCTGCAATAGAAAGACAATTTTTTGAAAAGATTCATGCAGATAGCTTCAAGACTGAGAGACTAGTTTGCGTAGAAACGGACAGACAAACGGACATGGCTATATCGATGCTGATCAAGACTGACTGACAGAAATTATAATACCCTCTACAATACGAAATTTATCAGACAGGGAAGGCATTTAGATTACTATGAGCCAAAAAATCACTTAACAATCATTGCGATCTGCAGTGATGAATTGGGTTCCACAGTTCATGTCAAGACACTGATCAATCGGAACGTTCTGATCTTGATTGTTTGCTTCGTCCGTGGGAGAGCCAATCAATTGACATCATCATCATTGGCCTGTACTAGCCTTCAACCATCAGCCAACAAATTGCCACCAGCGTGAGATCACAGTGAGTGCGGAGAACACATGAGATGTTGATGGAAAGATACCAGTGGATTGACATAGTCACTGGATTACTCACTCGATTATCGATGGGGGGTGTGTTATGCAACAGTAGAGGGGAGTGTATACTACACAGTCATACTATAACAGTTGATAATTGGCATAAGGTTTATTGACAGAAATAAAAAAGGGAAAAACGCAAGAACAAAAATATAATGTAAGTGCCAATGCTCCCACCATTAAGCATGCGACCTGGTGACGATTGAAAATAAGAAATGAAAGCGAAAGCCGTGTATGTGATTTCGATCCATTTCCATATTCATAATTCGTCTACTAATCCCAAATTCCTTTCGCTCCCTGCTTTTCCAATTATATACGTATACCACCCGCGGAAATCATAGAAAGTTTTGATTTAATTATGTGATTAACATAACACAAAGGCGCCACTGCCAGCAGCAACTTGCAACCAGCAACTAGCAACTGCAACAATAAGTCGATTACTTGCGGCAATCTGAAAAATGTATGCACAACAACCGTAAAAAACGTGTAAAAATTAGAAATAACAAGCGGCTAACAACAAAATGCAAATGCATGGAAAACTGCCAACTGAATTGCTGGAAAAATGATCCAAGAAAAATGTGTTGCTGCAGCAACAAGAGATTTCCCACGTTAGCGAATCATTAAAAATCAACTCGCGAGGCAACTTGACAAGCCATATGCAAAAATGGGAGGAAAAGCGATGGAAAAATTACAATAATTGGTGCACCACCTCGCGACACTACCGTCATGCACCTGCTACCACTCTGCTTTTGATTTTTATTTAAATTTTGCTTGCAAAGGAAGTAACTTCTGATAGCGATTATTATTTATTTAATAATAATATGTTTAACATGTTTTTATTACCTAGTTGCTCATATATTTTCCACTTATTTTCCATAATTTCAATTTAATTTAATCACTAGAAGAGAAATGCAAGACAAAAATACAAAAATACTCTCTTGTTACAGTATTGCACATCGATTAATACAAAATTGTTAGAAATTCAAGCGGGGAGGGTTTTGTTTTGGGGAGAGTCAAGAATATAACATGAATAAAATCACCAAGATCAAAGGCGGTTCGATCTTAACTTACTTTTCAAAAAACAGAGTGGGTCAAAGGATATTTTATACTTCTCCATTCTGCAACTTAACTCAACTCAACACACTCATAGTAATTAAAATTAAAATTTAACACAAAATCGCAGGTTTATTTCATGACCTACCGATCTCTATTTTATAAACCTTTCCTTATTAAATCATACAAACATAACTTACTTATTAATTTCCTACAAAAACCGTTCGAATTTTTTATTAAATTATTAATAAATCAATCAGATAACCCGAAGTTTCCAGTGGAACTTCGAAAAGTCGAAGTTTGTATGCCCCTGCAGTAACACCGATAATCGATTAGTGAACTTAGCCAAATCTATTGATAGTCTACGAAAATAAACTGAACATAACACGTCGGTGGTCAGTATGTACGAAACATGCCATATGGGATAAAGCCATTCGATCTTATTTAATCTCAATTATTTTGTTCCAAATGGCTTACACCTAACCAAAATTGTAATTGCCCCTGCAATTTGGGATTAGTTTACGAAATTATGTCGGAATCACATTCAAGGCTTAGGCACTCGTTTCTCATTTTCAGTGGCCACCGGGTCGTATGCTTAATGTGTGTCAGGTCTTGTATGAAGTTTTTTCTTCCCGTGTTTATTTCCAATTTTTTTCTGTCATTCAATTTAATGAACTGCGTTGAATCGAAAATGGTTTATCAACTTGTTACTATCTTTACACAGTTAAAGGTATAATAACCTTAAATAAGTTACTTCCTATTTTATTTGCACGAAAAAAATTATAAACTGGAATCTTACATTATGACTTAAGTCAAAAGTATCATTTTAATGTAAAGTTTTTAGGGATATTTTACCTCTGTGCATTATTTTCTGGGTGTGGCTAATGACAAGTGCTCGGGGGGCCATTAAACCAGGCGATGGAAATCAAAATCGCGATCGAGAGGTGAAATCGGTTGACAGGCCATAATCGATACCACAATTAGTCCAAGTGCTGATCGGAGCCAGAGATGTAATGCAATACCTGGGTGCTGTGGAAAGACCTGCAGTCAGATCGGTGGAAATGCAAGGAAATCGGCAGAAATCGAGGCTTGTTAAGTGGGCGTGGCGGGTTAACATAAATTCACATTAGCGTCAAGAGCCCAAGCGCAATCGATTGAAGCGAATCGGTTTTGGTTCGGGTTATAGTTTTTTTTTTGTATTTTTGGATTTAAACAATAGCAAACGAAACCGAGAATGCAATTGCACCCGATATCCACCCTGCTGAAAAGCCCCTTTTTCCCCAAAGCCTCTCCCCCATTTTCCTGGTCATATTTTCCTACGATTTTCCTCCTCGTCTTGTGCCGTTTGTTTGCTTAATTGCGATTGTTGTTGTCGATGTTGTAGTTATAGTTGCTATTTATGAAGTGGTTGACTGCCCTGATGGAAGGGAAAACGGGGGAGTGGGGGAGGGAAAAACTGAACCAGCAGTTGCAGCAATGCGGATATGTATATAGTATGCGCAAATGATAAAGATAAACAGTCTGGTCAGGCAAATATAGTCGAACAATAGACAAAGGCCTTGTCGCAGTGGGACCTCATAAATAACGAAAACTATTAAATGATTATTTCTTATTGGCTTCATTGAGTGTCTGAAATAATCAAAACAAATTCGTGTTATTGTTTATTGTTCATTTAAATAAAAGAATTGCAATGATGATTAATTAAATTAATTAGATCAGCCAAAGCCGAACAAAATTTTAAAAATATTTGGTGAAAAGCCTACTTGTCTAGAAGTCTGAATTTTAGGCATTTTTTCAAGTAAAATATTAGCATAAAAAAGACCACGACTCAATCAGATCAGTAATCCAATAAACTAAGTTTAGTTACTTGTTTTACTTAGTAAAATGTTATTAATTAGTAGCCTAAAGGGTTCAGCTTAGGTACAGTCACTTTAGGCAATTCTGTCTGTAGTTCGATCGACTGCCCAGCGGACTGCATTTGCGGGCTCGAATTCGAAGCAAGTCGCGGAATTAGATTCAGATTCAGACAGACGCCAGACAACGCGACGTCTCGTTTCGGTTTCTGCCGCTGCAAATGCAGATAGATTATATAAGCGACCTTTAATGGTCCAGCGATCTCAATGCAGCTGAGATTCAGATGGGGGAAACGACTGAGACGAAGATGAAGATGGAGCCCGGGCGCCGCGGCGAAAAACCCCGCTTCGTTTCCACCCAAAAGTTGCAAAAAGTAGCAGGGAAATCACGTTGGCCAGTTGTCGGACGTCCGTGCTCGGAGCATTGCACTCAAAAAAGAAAAAACCTAACTGCGATTTTTTTCATGGCAATACTATCGGTATTAATTGCAAATCGGAGCAATTTCATACATGAAAATGATTTTTGCAAATATAAAGCTCATTTTATTTTCGTTTTAAAAATATTTTCTTTTTCCAAAATGTATTTGCTATGTATAAAAAATTTGCCTAACTTACAGGCAAAACGTGATCATTGAATCAATTTAATTTTTTTAAGTCGTCACATTGAACCTTTTTTATTTGGGAAAATGATTTAGAGCTCTGTTTATTTATTATAACATTCTGTGTAAACTCTTTCTTATGGTACAGCAGACTTTTAGTAAAAATAGACAATCAATATCGAAATTATAATTTTTGAGTGTAGGCTCTAAACTCGGAGATTCGTGGGCTCTGGGCTTATGTTAATCCTAGTACAGGTTGCCAACAAAGGCGTAAGTGTTACCAGCTTAGATGTTCTTTTTTAGTTGAAAAGGTACTTTTAGTTAAATAGAAATAAAAAATTTTAATATTTTATTTTTAATTTATTGAGAAAGAGATTTTAAATTTCCTGTTTAATCACTTAAAAGGTTTTACTTTAGATTATACTTAGATTATACCTTAAAACTTAAGAAATTTATTGAGATTGAAATACGAAGAGAAACAACTACAAAATGTTGTGTTATTTATAAAAACAGTATAGCTTTTTTTATAGCAAAAAACTGACTGCACTGACGCCATAATGTACGTATTTGTATTTATTAACAAAACGTGCCAAGTTTAGTAAAAAGTTTGCAATGCTGTGAAGGTTGCATTTCCGACCCTATAACGTACATATATTCTTCATCAGCATCACTAGGAGAGTCGATCTAGCCATTTGCGTCTGTCCGTCCGTCCGCTTCTTCACAAAGTAGTCTCTTAGTTTTCAAGCTATCTGCATGAAACTTTCCCAAAAGTCGTTCTATTGCAGGTAATAAATAAGTCGAATCAATCGGAAACTATTACTTCGCTTTGTTTAAATTTTATGTTTGTATATTTTTTTAAGATATTATGGTTTAATTAAAGAATTTTTAAAGAATATATAATTTTTGCAATAGCTGCAATGGTATATAAACCTCGTCTTGCCGAAGTTTGCTTCCTTTCTTGTTTTTTGATTTCGTTTTTTCCTCCTATCGGTAACCATACGTTAAAAACTCTGACATCACTAGGCTAAGAGTACAGTTAGCCGAGAGACCAACTTGGTCTGGGTTACGTAATTTGGCGAGCAACTCGAATGCGCTGAAGCGCTTCACGCCCCTCCGACTTCTTTTGTTAGAAGCGACGGAGTGGATCTCAAAATGGGCATTATCCACATGCAAATGAGGCATCTTGGGTAGTTGGTTCTGTTGCAATTGGTGCCAAAAAAATAAAAGCAGCAGATCGAGAGACATTGGGCAACGTCTGGTCCTGTCTGCAAATCAGTTAAACTCGCAAAAAGCTTGGCCAAGAGCTTTGATTTTGGCCTAAACCGAAGCTTGAAATGGACAATGTACCAAGCACTTTGGTCTGGTGTAGCCGTCTTTTAGGATGCAGTCAAAAATACAAGCTTATGGAAAAGCTTTAAGAAATATACACAACATTTTAATTAAAAATATACTATATGACACGTTTATTGTCATACGCCTATAGTTGCTCAATGACCCGATATTTAAATATTAGACGAATATTCAAATGTTAAAAATTAAATCTTATGTGCATTTTTCTATATATATCCTTTATACACTACAGTTTAATCAATAATATTGTAGCCATAAAGAAACTTAAATTTTGTAGCACAGAAAACTGACAGACTGCTCAAAACTGAATCTCGCATACCCTAATAACGATTTCGAAATATCCTTTGTTCTAAAAATTAAGACTGAGACTATATTGAATTGGTATTTTTTGTTAATATTTTGGAAAATGTATTTTCCCCTTAAACCCATTTCAGAGGAGTGGATAACGAAGCGCAAGACAGAACTCACAACTACCAGACAGATTGAAACGAGGGTGAAGCGACAAGTTAAGCTGCAGGATGGCAAGGTGATCGAGGACTCCGGTCCCATTGTCTCCACCAACACAACCGAGGACACCGATAAACAGGAGACGGAAACCACTGAGGTTAGTTTTACCAAAGGATTTCGCAAAATTCTCAGAAAACTATGAACAATTGCTTTTTATTTATAAAATTTTGTTTGTTAAATGTTTTAATTCTGAACATATTTTTGAAAGTTGCTGCTTTTGCCAGTTTGGTTCGGGCTTATATTTTATGCTATTATCCATTTTGTTGCTTTGACAGTCGTTTGGAAACCTTATTTGACATTTTGATACGGCTATATCTCGTCAACCGAGAGAAATACTTTTTTGTATCTTCAGCTAACTTGAAGGTATCGAATAGGAAAAAGAAGCGGAACAAACTTAACCCAAAAAAAATCCATCTTGTGGCTCAATATCGCAAAAATTACCATTTTAAAATATTTTTTACAATTCTTATACAATTTTAGGTCAATAATTTCACCACACATCCACAAATATGTAGTTTTTTTTTTATATTTCGAATGAAACAAGTGAAAGTCAAAATTAAATGAAAATAAAAGTTTGTTGTTGTTGTGTATTTAGGTAATAGAAATAAAAATATTTAAGTTGTTAATATCCATTGCAATAGATTGTGGTTTAAAACCTTTATCTGAGTCTTCATTATCAAATAAGGGATTGAATGACATATTGATTTCTGCATTTCCTTCAAAAGTTGTGTTTTTGGAATCTTCGGTGTCTTCTTATAATTTTACTTGACCACCAACATACTTCTGCAAGCAATGCATGCATCCAGTTTTTAAATCGCTTTTCCATTGGCATTGTGACCTGGTGGAATCGCTCACCTTGCTCATCCGATTCTTGGGGCAATTGTCGCAAAAAGTCATAAAAGGGAAAATGCAGATAATGTCATTTAAACGTCATTGATGTATTGATTTTTTTCAATAAAATACATTAGAATGTAAACTCTTTTCTTTATCTCGGCTGGCTGTAAGCGATTTGTAGGTTGTATAAGTTATAGGTCTTAGAACACTAAATTCCTTTTCTTTGAGAATTAATGCATGCGTAACAGCTGTCCCGTCCAAATTACTGGATTCATAAAAAGAAAATGTGCTATTTTCAGCTGTTTCCAATCCAAAAGTGTTATGAAGCATTTTTTGCAAACGGTGTTTGGCGTATAACCTTCAGAACTCAAATCAGGTTCATTGAAATATGCACAATACGCTTCTACGAATTCCGCACTAAACCAATTTTATCGCTCCTTTTCGTCTTTTTTCAACAATATATAACCACAAAACGTGACAAAAATCATTTAGTTTTCTTTTTAAATTTTCATTCTTTTATTATAATTTGTATAAAATTTTAAAAAATTTTAATTTTTGCCATATTGGGGCACAGATGGAATTTTTTCGGGTAAGTTTGTTCCGCATTTTTGTCTCTCGGTTTACGTGATACAGCCGTATCAAAATGTCAAATAAGGTTTCCAAATGCCAGTTAAAGCAACAAAATGGATAATAGCAAAAAATATAAACCCGAACCAATTTGGCAAAAGTAAAAAAAAAATGTTCCACAGTGTTATCAAACATAACCTAAAAATACTCCCATCATTTTAGTTTATTAAAAATTAGGCTGAAGAAAGATTTAAGTGGATTTATTTAACCGTTTATTACAAGTGGTTTTTTTCGCTTTGCTTAATTTGAAATGTTAGAAACGCGACCTTGACCTGCCGGATGACCTCGATAGCAATGCCCAGCTGATCGACGTGGCCGCTCTGCAGGCGGGCGCCCAGAATGAGACGCAGCTGGCCCAAATTCAAGAGGTATTTGGACCGGCAGACGGAGCAGGGAAGCTGGTCAAGCGAATGGTTCCACGTCCTGCGGATGGGCTAGTGCGACAAACGGACGACAAGCGGGTGATCTCGCACGAGGAGATCAAGGATTACCACGAAACGGAGGACGTCAAGCACCACGGCGACTTCACAGATCAGGTGGGTCTTTAATAAAATCTCCAAAATCCTTATTTCCTTACGTCCAATTAATATTTTTGTTAAACTGTTAAGGAAATTATACAGTTTCAACACTTAACACGTCTGCCTCGTCGCTCTGAGACATGTTAGACCTTAGCTTTAGTACTCTGTGTGTGTGTTTTGGTCATACCTATCGATAGACACAAAAAATTTTAAAATCGCGCTATTGTTTTAGTAGATATTAAGTCCTCTGCCGCCCCTCTGCCGCTCCTCTGCCGCTGCTCGGCCGCTGCTCTGCCGGTAATCGCTGATGTAAAGAGACAGAACGAAATACTGTTAGCGGAGGGTAAGGGTGATGCACGCTCTTAGCTTCTGGTGTTGGTTATGCAGAATGTTTTGAAAGGGAATATTTAGTTTGAAATTTGTTACCTGATTAACGGGTACCCTATTGTCGGGGAACTCGAATATAGCGTTCTTTCTTATTTGGACTTGTAGTGGGAGGATCCAAAAAATTTTAAAATTATAATAACTTGTACGCTAATAAAATAATGACATTTAATTTGAGGTCATAATATGTTTGAGTTAATTAATTAATAAGATTGCTTATTAATTGCAATAATTTAAATTGTTTTAAGATTGCGATTATTTCTTGAATTTTAAAAACTTGTATTTACATATTATTTTAAATAGTTATCTGAGACTTTATATCGTACAATCTCGTTACACGTCGCTTGAAGCAATAAAAATATATAATAGTCGGAATTATAGTCTAATTTGCCAAGAGATTCATAAAGAATATAAACCTACAGCGGTTTCGGTGGAAAATGGCTTTGAAACAATCACCGACGATCGCGGGCGAAACTCCAAGTATCTTATAAAAGAGGCCTGAATGTTTTAACCTCCGCTTGGTCGTGGAACTTACTTTTTCTCCCGACCTCCAACCCCCCACTATGGAGCGTTATTCATCTTCGGCCTAAGCTTTAGCTATATTTTCATCTCCAACTCCAGCACTAGTAATGCTGTGGCTTATTGTCTGCACCGCTCTCTGCTTTGACCAAGAAGAAGACCGGTCGAGTTAAACGAAATCAGGAGCGGTTCAGGCCAAGAGTGAGTAGAAACATCTACTTGAGAATGATTCGCTTTTTGAAAATTAATTGCAAATATCGTTGTTTTTGTAAATTCATTTATAATTAACATTTTAATGAATTTCTGTGACTCCATTTATGGAGTGAAATTTATTATGATAGTTAATGCGTTCGGATATTATATTGCAAACATTTGGTAGACCATATAATCAAGATAAACGCAAAACGAGTACGGGTTTTTGAATATTTCAAAACCTAAGTACAAATATTTAACTTATTTTTCTACATTTCTCCGAGTGTTCGCCTGTGTAATCGGAGACAGGACTGCGGACAGGCTGAACCGAAAATTGGCGTAAATAACTGAAAATCAATTCGGCGTGAAAAGCAACAATGTAGCAGTACTGGATAGTTGGCTTTTTTTTTGTTCTACAGTAAACGCTTAACGCAATCAACCAATGAAAAACAAGATTACACTATATTAATTTGGCATACAACTTTTTTTTATATATTCATTCATATTAATCGGTACTTTACTTTTGTTTATTATTACAGTAATTATAATTAAAAAAATTTTAAATTAAAAAAAAAATAAATATTTAACTGTTAAAGTTTGAAGCATGGAGGTCCTTCAATAAACTGTTAGAGATGGTATAATTAAGGTTTTAAGCTTCTCAAGTTTAAAAAAAAACAGGCTGTTCGCACTAGACAGTGTTAACTGTATTTTTCTCTTTTTTCTTTTAGCCGTTGTTGTTTTTGTTGCTTTCAAGCTCATTCGAAAGTTATTGGTGTTGTTGTTGGAGCTGCATCCCGCTGTCGTAGCAGTCGCGGCCGCAGCTGGCGTCGCAGCCGCTGCCGCTGCCGCCTCGGTGCCTCTGCCGATTACCTTGCGTTGTGAGCAGTTGGACGATCAGTTGCCGTTCAGCGAGCCAAGAGAATACAACAATACAACTCGCTTTGCATTTCGCGTATCCACTCGTTTCGTTGCGCTTTGATATACTGTTATTTTTTTATAGTTATTTGTTATTTATCTCCGCCCAAAAGACTGTCGGTGGAAAAAGCACGTTAATCGTTAATCAGTTATCGGTATCGCAACTCTCTCTCTTCGGCAGTGCTTTTTTGTTGGTTTTTTGTTTACAAAAACAAACTACACTCTCTCTCTCTCTCTCTTAATATTAGTGAGTGTTTTTGTGTGCGGTGTGTGAGTGCGGCTTAGTTTTTGTTTTAAATTAGTTTTTAGTGCGTGGGCTTTTTGGCCAAGTTAGTAGATGGTGCAACAGAGGTTAGAGCATCGATAATTTTGTGAAGAAGTAGGCGGAAGAGCTGAAGGGAAGGAAAAACAAAAAGAGGAGGAGGAGGAGCAACACAACCCCAATTTGCATAATTATCAAGGTGCGATATGTTCCAAAACTTAATGGAATAATTAAAGCCATAAGCACCCCGAAATTCCCTCCCCTAAAACAAATTTCTCGACAGGGTCTTCGGGATCCAAAAGACCAACTTAAACCGGTAGTTGGCAATTAACCAAGCCAAAAAGGTAATACCATTGAAGATGTGTTGGGGCTTTTGTTGTGGTCGTTATACGGACACTTACAAGGCATCGGAGTTGTCTGTCGAGACTACCTTAGGTACCTCAATTTTTAAAAATGGTCCGAATATCGACATTGCTCTATTTATTTTAGGTATACAAATATTTGCTGCAATTGAAATTTCAGCATCGTATTTAATATTTATTAAAGACACTTTAAAAACATCTTTCTTTAAACCTTAAACCTTTTTTGAAGAATTTTAAAAATAAATGTAATGTATATCATCCAGGAAATAACTTTTCTTTACAACCTTCCGATTACATTTATAATATATCTACAAGATAAGAACAAAAAGTTCTATTGGGTTCTATTGTATTGTATTGTATATTTTGTACTTGGAGGAAAATGAGGTGTACAGGATTTTGTTATATTATACCAACCAATCTGTATTTAAACAAAGTATGATTTTTTTTTGTAATTCAAAACACTTTTTTAACACTATAGTGTAATAATTCCTAAATGGTTTTGTCTCTGATTCCCAAATCCGTTAGCTGTAGAAGCTGATGATGATTTCTACCGTTAAGAAATTATCTCTAAAACCAGGATAAAAATCAATTTTTAATTTAACCGGCCAGACCAATATTTTTAGTTCGGTTTATTATTTAATTCTGTTAGGTCACCACTGTAAACGTTAAACTATAGTTAACACTGCAAGGCATACACACTGGGATGAGCGAGAGAGCTGGGCAGAGGCTGGCAGAAAGAGAGAGGACGATGGGAGTGCACACTCTCCCGAAGGCGAAACCTCGGGAACCTCTGAAGAAACCCAGAGCAGCTGGCTTTGTGCCCGGGGCAGACCTGTTCTGAGCCAAGTTTAATCAATAGCCAAAGTGCGCGGCGCTGCTACTGCTGCTGCTGCTGCTGCTGCCGTTGCTCCTGCTTGGATTTCTTGGATTCTAGGCGTGTCTGCGGCAGGTCCATGAACCTAAGATACAGATATACACAAGCCCCAACCAACCAACCAACCAACCAACCAAACACACACCGACCGTGCTGCGAAATCGGTGCGAGACATACATAAGTACATAGCACATTAAATTCGTCCATGCCACATTCAAAGAAGTTTTGTGGAAAGCGACCACAAAAAGTGTTTGGAATTTGAATTTAAATTTTGTATCTGTACTTCTTTGTCTCAGCCACAGTCTCCAGGTGTGTCTATGTGACCACGTACCGCTGTATGAGTGGGTACTTTGCTGGCCGAAAACTCGTTTCGAGTCAGTCTAGGTGCCCCCACATGCTAAACCAATCCAATCCAGCCCAAACAACTCTAATCAGCAAATGCCAATCAGCAGCAGCGGTCGGGCAGAGGTTCAAGGGGTCTAAACGGAGCCCAAGGGGGTTTGAAGGAAGCGAAAAGGGGGCTTAGACTGAATCATTCACGCAACGGAAGCGATAAACCGAGTCGTAGGCCCACAGACCCCAAACCTAGACCAAATATCTTTTCTTCGTTTGCTGGCCACTGCACAACTCCAGCCTCGAATTTTACTTCAACTTCAGATTTAGCTCTCCAAACCCATAAGCAACAGCAACATCAGTTACACTGCCAAAAATAATAAGGTGAAACCTTATAAGCTAAAACGACTGGAATTAGCAAAAAAACGGACTTAGCTTCCACTGGTATTTACTAACGGAAACTGATGACAGAAGTCAAAGTCTCCAAAAATTGTAATTTCTATTAGTTGATTACTGTCCTTAAAATGATATTTGTTCCTTTTTACTTCCCTCGATCGATCTAAATAGCTATTAATTAATCGGCACTTAACAAGGTTAGATCATTTTTTTTTTCGTTTGTTTTTTCCCAATGTGTGTTCGAGAGAAGAAGCAAATTTTGCTGCCAGTCATTTTGATCATTTATGATCATTGTGACTAAAGACAAAGCCTAAAGCAAGTCCGCTTTTTGCCACTCACACAAATGACCTACGATGCTATCTCTTGGATCTATGAAAAGGAATTTGTATGGTTTTTGTTGCCGTGTAGACATCATTATCATATGCAGGCGCGTTGGCGTTGGCCGAACACTAACTGAATTACAATAATAATAATCGATCGAGAGCTCTGCTCTATTCCGCTCCGCTTCGCTCAGCTTCGTTCGGTTCGGTTTGGCTCAGTCCGGAGAGGTTGAGCAACTCCCAAGGCAAACTGGTCTTGGTTGGTCTTGGTCCCTGGGTTTAGCGATCCACTCCACCGCATACACAGGGAAAAAGGCCAAAATAATACATTTGGTTACGAATCAGAAAGGGATCGGACATACACAATCTATAAGGACCCTCTTGCAAACCTTTGTTAATTTAATTATAAAATTGGTTTCAGTTAGAAATACAAATTCCATTTGCACCATGTGTAAATTATC